ATTTTTTTTTTTCAAGGTACTATAAATTAATTTTCTTTTAATGTGCGCACGTCATAGATGGTCTCTTGTTTTTAGACTTCCTGACTATGAATTGGATATTAAATCCACCACTAATAAAATCTCATTGTTGTTCCAAAAAAGAAGAAAAAAAAATTACCTAAAAATACCCCCACACGCAGCTGACAAGTGAACTAAGTACATCGAGCATTCTTTCTGAATAAATGGTTTACTCTCCCTGTGCAAGAAACTTGTATGCAGGCTTCTACCTTTTGGGTTTATTGTCCCTGTTGAACTCGATATCATATTCGTTGTCCTGGGCTGCTGCCACAATCACAGGTCTAATAGTCCATAACTCAGCCTCTTTGCGTTGGCTGTGTTTAGTACATATGACTTTCTTTTCTCAATTTGAAGATTAATGAAAAAGTTTTTGAAAACCGGTTCATTTAAATAAAACAATTCTTCAAAAAATGATGTTATCTTTTAAGAATTTCTTTCATGAATATATATATATATATATATATATATATATTACCATGATCCATTAGATCTGTAAGATTCATAATTGAATCTCAAATTAGAATCATGTTCAAGTGGTTCACAATCTTCTTGAAACTTTTATTTTTTAATATAAAAATCGAATCTTGATTTAAATTTTCTTCTTCATTTTTAATTTTTAATTAAAAAAATGCTTTCGTTAATTATAAATAAGGAAATCGTTACTCAAAAATTTGAAATACTTCTAAGCTATAACTATTTTCATGGAAAACTAAGATATTGTTGTTGCTTATGAAGAAAAAAAAGAAAGTAATTTTCAGAGTAAATTATAAATTAGTCTCTTTTGTTTGAAAATATGAATTAATTAGTTCTTCTAGTTTTAAAAATTAATATTTAGTTCTTTTAACTAGTGTTGACCATCACTAATTTAATATTTTTATATTTTATAAAATATATTTTTCTCGTCAATCTTCACATATTTTTATTTATTTTTTATTCATTTTCTAATTTTAAAAAACTTTAAATAAATTTAAAAATAATAAATAATTAAATAATTAGTTTTTGAAATCAAAATATATAATTAATTCATTTCTTGAAGTGAAAGAGATTAATTTATACTTTACTCTTAGTTTTCATGAGAATATTGCTATATTTGGAGAATAGATTCTCATAGCGACACGTGCTTTTGAATATATATATATATATATATATCAATTCATTCATGGACTCTTTTTGCAATTAAATGGAACATGTTCTTTCTCCTTGCCTCATTCAAGTTGTTAGGCCTGTCTTCTCAGAAAGGTATACCAAATTAATTTATTTTCTAACTTCTGCATCTTTTTTCTTCTTTTAACGGATGATTTTGCGTACATAGATGAAGCTTTCACTAAAAAAGTGGAAAAACAGTTTGAATTGGTCTCCTTACAGTCTTAGACACAGCCAATCCTAAGTTGAAGTGGAATCCTAAAAAAAATGGTTTAATACAACATGATATCCATCTCCTGTTTTGTTTGTCTTAAGCATATCTCACTATTAATTTTCTCATTAATTTTGTTTTTATAATTTTTATTTATGTCTTAATTTCATTCAATCCATCCAAAATTTTCAAGTAAGGGTGTTAATTTTTTATGACAAGTGCACATGATGTTGACACAAAAATCGAAAAAATTTAAATTTCTAAAAAAAGAATAAAAATTACAAAATGTCTTTGTTTTTCTTTGCCTTTATGTATAGAAATAAATAATTAATTTCATTCTTCGATTTTTATTGCTTTCTCTCAAATCCAAACCAAAAAAAAAAAAAATTTTATATATAGGAAGGAACAATTTATTTATTTTATTTTAGAAATTTATTATGAGAATTTATTTTAAATCCAAACGAGAAAGAAATTTTTTATGAATATTTTTTCATAACATACCAACAGAAGCAAAAGGTAGAGGAAAAAAAAGGACATTTTGGGATTTTTATTTTTTTAGAAATTTATTTTTTTTCAAAAATAAAAAAAATTGCCACATGCCAATATCATGTGTGTCTATTGTTTGAAATTGACACCGTTACCTAAAAATTTGGATGGAGGGACAAAATTAAGATGCCAATTAAAGTAGAAAGATGTAATTAATGAGAAAATTAGTAGGACATAATTAAGACAAACAAAACAGTAGAAAGACATCTTGGACCATTAACCATAACAAAATGGTCAATAAAGCTTATGCTTAATGACCAACGAAATTGTAGCTCATTTACGTACGTCTATGTTTCATTCTCTGCAAAAATTAAAAAAAAAAACAAATAAAAATGATTCAAGCCCTTTATTTATATGCATAAAAGTTCATGCTCGATAATATTGCATTTGCCATTACAATATGAACTTCTTTGATTGATTAGACATTGTTTCAAAACTAATCATTTGGAGGATCAAAGCCATTAGAATTGCTTTGCTAAGACGACTTACACTAAAAGAGGATTATGCACCTCTAACATAAATCACAAGACCAGCAAGATCTCTTCCTTCTACCTTACACTTGTCTTGATTCACTGCATTATCATTTCTTAAATCAGTAAATAATGTTTGAAGATGCTAATTTTTTGGAAGGGAACTTATTATATCACACATATATAAATAAAATTGAGGTATTGTAAATTAATAAGGAAGGAACCGTATAATCAAATCCCGTTGTAAAAAATGAAAAATTATCCAGGAATACCACTTTCTCCCGTCTAGTGTAAACAATCATAAAGCTTCTATTTAAAAGGGTAAATATTTGATAAACCAAACAACAAATAAATGACAAATAACAATGTAAATTTAGATCTATAAACACAACTAAACAAACTAATATAAATCTCAGTGGTACGAAGAAACAAAAAGAACATCAAATACCATTTCTCACAACTAGAGGCCAACTTTATGAAAAATTAGGTTTGTTAGAATCTTTTTCTTCTTGAGATAGAATCAATAATACTAAATATATAAATAAAATGCGATGATACTATGGATTTTAGATATCTAAGTTGATTGTAGTTGATATTTACCCTCGTTGAAAGGGTTGAAAGAATGACCATAGCGTCCTTTGGAGTTCTATGAGCATGGAGAATGGACATCGACGTTAGTGATGCCGGGGATGGCTGACATAGCCACTCCAATGGTTTTTTTAGTAATGTACATTTTGTAGATGTATTTCTTATGATAGAGCCTTAGCTCTTCGAAGATGTATATATCTATGTGTATATAAAGCCATTTTGCCTTGTATTGACTTTTTATATGCCATTTTTAGCTTTGTTTTAGCTATGTTGCCCTTTGTGTTTACCTAAATATCATGAAGGTAAGAACAACTATTTATAGTAGAAACCGTAGAGCACGAGGCATACTTTTAGTGTGTGAGATTAGGTAGCTACAAGGCCATAAAAAAGATGATCCATAATTGTGAAGATGTCTAGTTTAATGGACTAATATAGAGAACTCAAATTTCATACCTTATCGGTTATCTCCTTGTTCTAAAGCGAGGCTTACTCGATTTGAGACATAACGATATTCCGGTATGATGTAATTTAGATAAGTTAGGGCTTTGTAGATGCGACTTGTTGAATTTGAACTTTTTGACCATTTTCTTCTTCAATAATTGATACATCATTTTGGAATGTATTACGAGAGTGGATGCATGTATGTCGTGTAATACAAATTAATATTATTCCCAAAATATATAAACTTGATAAATATATAAATAAATAAATTGTCCATCCTCTCTATTGAGAAATGATGACTATGGCATACTTGTGTATCATTGTTGGTGACGTGCTTAAATTAATAAAGATGCTACCATATTTAAATAATAGATTTTTTAATTGAGCATATGCGGTACAATCGGATATGATCTTTTTATATGAAGATGTAAGATCTTGATATGATAAAGGAGAACGAAGACACTATTATTACTAATTTGAAGCTCGAGAAAGCTATAGAGAGTCTTGGAGATTGTACGAAGAGTTGAGAAATTGATTTTTTGTTTAGTTTTTCACAAACGATGTCATTGATGATATTATAGATTTCGAACAAATGAGTTGATTGTAGTTGATATTTAATTCCTTTGAAACGATTGAAAGAATGATCATGATGTTTTATGAGCATAGAGAATGAACATCGACATTATTGGTATTAGGAGAGTGTTAGAAATAGTTATTTCAATGATTTTGTTAGTATTGTGCATGTACATGTTCTATATGTATTTTTTATGAGAGACCCTTAGCTTTTGGGAAATACGTGTATATATGTGTGTGTTTATATGAGGTTATTTTGCCATGTATTAGTCTCCATTGACTTTGTATATGTCATTTCTGGCTTTGTGTTGATGATAATGCCGTCTGTGTTTACCTAGATATTACGAAAGGAAGAACTCCTATTTATAGTGGAAATGGTAGGGTATAAAATATACTTTTAGTGTTTTGGGCCTGAGTGAATATAAGGCCATAAAGAAAAGGCCCATATTTGTGACAAGACCCAGTTTGATAAGCTAATGTAAGAGCTAAAATTTCATACTTTATCAAAATATATGTACGAATGAAACTTATAAATTATATCTAATATTGAGATATTTAATTAAACGAGTTTTTTCACAAATATATCGACAGAATAGTTGTGCCCAATTAAAATATGCACAAATTAAAACATAACAACATGGAAGAAAATAATACTTGGGGGAGCTGGAGATTCCAATGAATTGACAGTGGCAAAATAAGAAAGCTAGAAAAGAGGATAAAAAGAAAAGAAAAATATGGTTTGTTAACGAACCTGACGACTAATAAAACTGAAGGGAAAAGCCTCTGGCACCGGGCGATGGAAACACAGTGGGGTAGCTCAAATCTTCCAACCAACTTCACCTCGTCATCTCCGCCCCCTTTCTCTTCCACTTCCCTCCCTTCTTCCTCTATTTCCCTTCATTTCATTTCTCTCTCTTTCCCGTAACACACTCTCCAATCTCTAATCTCTCTCCCTCCTCCTCTTCCAACAAATGGCTTCCTCTCAATTCCTCTCCAAAATCCTAATCAACAACAAAACCATTTCCTTCTCTTCCTCTCTCTCCCCTTCCTTCCCTCTCCTTCCCTCCACATTCTCCCACCGCAAAAGAAATCCAAATGCCTTGAGAGTCCAAGCCAAGATCCGCGAGATCTTCATGCCTGCTCTCAGCTCTACCATGACCGAGGGCAAGATCGTCTCCTGGGTTAAATCCGAAGGCGACGTTCTCTCCAAAGGCGAAAGCGTCGTCGTGGTTGAATCCGATAAAGCCGACATGGATGTCGAGACCTTCTACGACGGCATTCTCGCCGCAATTGTAGTTCCCGAGGGCGAAACCGCTCCCGTCGGCGCTCCAATTGGACTATTAGCAGAAACTGAAGAGGAAATTGCGGAAGCCAAGGCAAAAGCTGCCTCGAAAGCCGGTGGTTCGAGTTCACCTGTAGCAGAAGCTGTTACTCCCACTCCTCCTCCTGCTCCTTCCACTCCCGCTCCTGCAATTTCGCAACCTCCTCCTGCTCCGGCTGCACCTGAGGGGCCGAGGAAGACGACTGCGACGCCGTTTGCGAAGAAATTGGCGAAGCAGCATAAGGTGGATATCAATCAAGTGGTTGGAACGGGGCCGTATGGGAGGATTACTCCTGCTGACGTGGAGGCAGCTGCGGGGATTGCTGTTTCGAAGCCGAGTGTGAGTCCTGCTGGGGCTGCTGCCCCTGCTGCGGTGGTTAAGGCTGCAGCGAGTTCTTCAGCTCCTCCCCCACTACCGGCGTCCAATGTCGTGACATTTACTACAATGCAAGCGGCTGTTTCAAAGAATATGGTTGAGAGCCTTTCCGTTCCGACTTTTAGGGTCGGGTATCCCGTGACAACTGATGCTCTTGATGCATTATACGAGAAGGTTAATCCTGTTAATTCTTCAATGATTTATTTTATTTTATTTTGAATGGTAATTTGATTGACTTAGGCTATCGAGGTTTCAAATGCGTGTTCAATTTGCTTGATTCTAACATTATGGCTATTTTCAGGTTAAACCAAAGGGTGTGACAATGACTGCATTGTTGGCAAAAGCTGCGGCGATGGCACTGGTTCAGCATCCAGTTGTGAATTCAAGCTGTAAAGATGGGAAGAGCTTTACTTATAACAGTAACATTAACATTGCAGTGGCAGTGGCAATCAATGGTGGGTTGATAACCCCTGTTCTGCAGGATGCAGATAAGGTAATCTTGTTACTAAATCTATATAATTCTCATATTATTCATGGATGATTGATTTTATATTGGTTTCTGGCTCAAGACCATTTTGAGTTTAAATTGGTAAATTGCTTTGTTGGTGTAGTTGGATCTATACTTATTATCTCAAAAATGGAAAGAGTTGGTGGAGAAGGCCCGAGCAAAGCAGCTTCAGCCCCAGGAGTATAATTCAGGTTTTTGCTATATGACTTATTTCTTTGTCTCTGTGTCCCTCCGTATCCTCTTAGGGGCTTGGATTTGAGTTCAAAATCTTTTTGGATCGATAACTTTAACTCTATTTGTATGCAGGGACTTTCACTCTATCCAATTTAGGAATGTTTGGAGTGGACAGGTTTGATGCCATTCTTCCTCCAGGCCAGGTGAGTGGTGATAGATAGGTCTTAAATTTCTGTTAGTTGGGAAACTCCTCATGATTTTCCAGAAATTTACTAAAAAGTTGGAAACAATGTTCAGGGGGCTATCATGGCTGTTGGAGCATCAAAACCAACCGTTGTGGCTGATAAAGATGGATTCTTTAGCGTTAAAAGTAAAATGCTGGTGAGATTTCTTTTCAATCACTTTCTATCTGAAAACAAACAAAGGTGTGACAAAATTATAGTTCATGATAGAACATTTTGTTTTCAATCAACTTTAACGTCAGTTTTCATGTTTTGAAATTATCAGTAACTATCCTCGTGTAATTCAACTAATGACATCCTTTTACCAATTGATTAAATTTTTGGGAAACTTAAAGTCTTCTTTGGTGGATTATGACCTAGTTACTCTGAAGTCTGAACTATCACTACAATTTTCCTAGATCAGCACTGGTGTTGAGCCAATGTCAGGCATTGTATAAGACTAATTAGGAAATCCTTGAAAGATCAAGTGAAGTTCTCAACCAAATGAACCGAACTTATACTTATTTTGTTTCAGCTAAAGCTTTTCCCAAGTTAACTTATTATAAATAGCACAACAATAGTAACACCTCTGGCCTAAATAAATCTTTCAGTTCATTGCCTTAATTGTGAATTATACACACTCAGATTTTTTTTTCTCTTAATTTGGTGATCAGTAGCATTCAAATGAGTAATTCTTTGTAGATATCCATGAGGCTTATAGATAGCTCCAGATGTTGGTTTTTACACTACCTAGCTTTCCAACTGTTCAAGTTGTCTAGCTAAGTGACTCCAATATACTGTCCTTAGTGGTTATATTCAAGGTGTCATGGGTTAGAAGTGACGTGGGTCAAACTGATTTCTGAAAACATGGAAGACTGGAAAGGATAGGTACTATGGCTAGTGTAAACTCTATGAGAGTATTGTGGCATAATATGATTCTAACTTGACCTCAAACTGTTAAGTATTGAGTTCTCGTTGGTTCAATTCCACCTCAAAGTTAAAAGATATTATTACAGTAGTCGAAGAGGTTAAATATCTTGTTAGATCCATACAATCTACTTTTTTTTTTTTTTTTTTTTGTGGATCAGAGGTCCTTGGGTGGAGTGGAGTTGTAAGATCACAAGATTTGCTAGTATATAGCCATTGAACTTAGCATATGGTTTGCTGTTCATCTGAGAAAGTGATTTACATTTCATAGTAAGCATCAGTCATAAGTGGTGCTAAGTGCTAACATTGATGAGGTTTAATCCACTGACGATCAATATGAAATGCAATTCACTTTCCTGGATGAAGCATAGTTCAACGAGTACCTGGATGCCGAGACCTTCTACGACCATGTTAGACACGACACCTTCTTATCATATGTTTGATAACGAACCTCCTTGTCACCATTTTGGAAAAAAAAAAATATCATTGTTTTGATGTGTTAACTTCAACTCATGGAGCCTGAAGATGCTGCCATTTCTTCTTACATCGTTGGATTATTTTAAAAGAAGAAAACCCACTTTTTTACTCTAAAGTGCCTTCATCTCAATCTTCGTTTTTGTAATCAAAATATCTATTTTCCTTTTATGGTCCATCTGTGTTTGTGCACAGAGGAGCAGGAGGCACCGGGTTAGTTAAATACGCAGGATCCCTAGGGGATAAGTGACCTTTGTTTCTCAATTATTTAGTTTCATTCTTCAGCAGGGATTATGCAGTTATGGTTGTGTTCAAATGATTGGCCTTGTCTCCTTGAAATATTTTGTGACTAAATCATCGGAGTATGCAAACTATAGGTATAGGAAGCAATGTACATGAATAACATACTAGAGAACTCATTATATTTCTTTTTCTTGGAACTTTGTCCTTGAAAAAATTCATCAGTAGCTAGTTGAAATACTGTCACTGGAAAATGATGTTTCAACTAGATGTTTACTTGAAAGGCAACTAAAGTGTTTGCTATCTAGCATCTTGTAATTAAGGTAGTGGGTTCAACTTCTATAGCTTTACTTGTTGTACTTATTACTAAGTAGCTGTTCGTTTTTAAAAGTCAGTTGATCTTCTTTAAGGAGAAAAACATCTAGTGAAAAGTCATATAACTGAATCTCAAATGCTTGTATGCTCTCTGGAGGGGAACAGAAGCGCTGCTTTGGTGTTGCTCTGATTTTTTTATGGTCACTGGCCTCTATCTTCTGAGATAGATTAATCTCTCTTATTGCTGATGAGATTATCATGCATTAGGTCCCTTTGCTTTCCCTTTGTAGGTTATTATATGTTATTTGATATTCTTGAAAAATTGAAGTATGTTGCTATTTGGTTATTTGATGCTGGCAAACATCAAGCACAAAAGAGCTCAATAGCTTGCAGTGGATATGCCTTTCAATTTTCCTTCCAAGTAAATGGTTCTGTAGTATACTCGAATTTACATTGGTATTTGATTTTTTTTTCAGGTGAATGTGACAGCTGACCACCGAATCATCTATGGTGCTGATTTGGCTGCCTTCCTTAATACCTTCGCTAAGATTATCGAGAATCCAGAAAACCTGACATTATAAATATTGTTCCAGATTTTTATAGAAAGAATGCAGTTGACTTTTGCCTCTATTATTTGGCTTTGATGAAATGATGACATGTCTAGTGAGAAGAGCACTGGGCATAGGAAGCTGGTTTTACAGTGCCTTAATGATACTGTGCTTGCTGTATTTCCTTTTGTCTTGATTTTGTAAGAGTTTCAGTACCAGGACCGATACTTGAGTATAATTTTAAAGATGAGAATAAAAAGCTAGTTCTTGAAAGTTTTTGACAGAAGCCAGAGTGATGTTTTGCTACAGACATTGCATTTGGATGAATCTTTTGAGGTATGCTTTCGGATAACAGTGGGTATCTTGAGTTATTTGTACTTTTAGATTGGTTTTGATGCATGCTTACAACATTTAAGCAGTTTCTCCCACAACCGGGAATAGAAAAAGATGGTAAAACTTGAATTTAATTCAGAGGTGGGTACCAGAAGGAGCTCATGCATGCAATTTGGATCTAAATCTTCATGATATACTACTTTCAGAACTGATTTAAGAAAAGGGATTCACTACCAGACATCAAAACTACATCTTGCGGACAGTACTGAATCTCAGTCAAGAGGTTATTTGCATGAAGCTTTTCTGATTCATCAATAGCAGGCATAAGTGAAACAATGTAAACGAAGGCCTAAAAGACTAGAAAAGAAAAAGGAAGGAAGGACATAAGCTCAAGTGAAACAATGTAAATGAAGACACATAATGGCTGTTATTTAAAACTATGACGTCCTTAAAGAGAAATTGGTGGTTATATAACATAATGGCTGTTATTTAAAAATATGACGTCCTTAAAGAGAAATCGGTGGTACAAGGTTAGGCCACCGGAATATCCCACATATATGACGTGGTTGGTGATCATAACCGAAACACATTCTGTCAACAATATGAATAGGTTGCCCCAGCCATATCCTGACTCTGTACGTAAAATTCTTTTTTTGAGACAACTATTTATTTACAAATCATTTGATGTTATTTCTCGTTTCAAAAATAGATGTTGGCGACAACCGCTGTCTAATGGAGAATGTTTTGCAACAGCTCGAGCAAAGTCAGGACTACTGACAAAAAATAGCTGGCTGTTGGTGAGCAGCTGCAAACTTTTCTTTCTAGACTTGGGAGATGTATTACATAATTGCTAATTCAAACGCAAGAAAATCCTTGCTTAAGCTGACCTTTACCGTAACAGGTAAAAGTTACCAGTCCAAGCTGATGTTCCTGGAAATGTAAAGCCTATCAATATACTCGATAACTGGAAGTGAGGCATTGATATACCTTCTCATGTTCTTCTCTGCTGACTGATCTGCAACAACAGTTACAACAAAAATTAGAGGTCCCCAGGAGACTAAACTTGAATTTCAACTGATCTCAACGGTGAGCTATAATGAAAACGCAAATCTGTGAAGAAAATGGAACAACATCATTTAGCATGACAGGGCACTGCGATACAAACTTCTTCAATTTGGCAGCATACGTATTTTTTTGAGTGATTGCATTCAAAATTTTTACAAGTCAATTGGAAGATAGATAATGAACTGAAAACTGAGATTCCAACAATTTTGAGAACATAGGATCTATTTAGTGAGAATAGCCGAAGACTAAGAAATACTACCTTCATCTCTTCTCCTTCATACAAATTTATATGCATTCCGCATATTTACAAATGTTAACGGAAGTTGATTGAATTAAATCAAAAGAGGACCCGCTTTTTTTAGTAAACAACCAATGAACCAAACCATCCCTTCAAGGACCAATTGAGATTTTACAGGTGCAGAACATATTAATTTTGATGTCTATCCTCTTTCTCTTTACCCTGTTGGATGAATCGCTGGACATTCATGGAACAGACATTCTGATGACAGCTTACTTTATTCCCTATTCCCATTTGTTTTCAAACAAACGGAAGTTCACGAAATTTAGGCAATAAATATCCTTCCTTCTTGAAGTAAATGTAGCCCATTGTCAAGATTCAAGAGACTTTAACGAACTTCAATGTTCATGTTTCTTATAAAACTATCATCACAATCATAAACTTTTAGTTCCTAGCCTATACATAAAACTGTGTATACAAGCAAGACATATGCTATGATGATGGACACAAACTCACAAGTTTCATTGAGATTCAGTAGAAGTTGGTTCCTTGTTGGAAGAGTATACATCCCAGCATAAACCGCTGTCCTGACAGCCCACGTATGGTATGGTGCACAAACTTGTGAATAAGCTGTTGTAGCTGCTTCCCTTAAAGAGTAATCACTATAAAAGCAACGATCAAAATGTCAGATTGCGCAGCCACAGACCCTTCGGAAACATTAAATTGCTAATACATGACATGTGATTCAATCCACTGCATAACCTCAAATTAACTAGAAAAATATGCTATGGATATTGGAAAAGAAAAAGAAAAAGAAAAAGAAAAAGAAACAAAATTTGGAAGGGGAGGAACTTACTCAGTAGAAAGAAACTGCTCAAACAAAGCCCTGATGAGATCAAGACCCTGCCTGACTCGACGTAAATTACGTGAATGACTGCCTGATGTTCTAACTGTGCCATTTGCAACATCTAGATCAAGTATAGTTTGTAAAGTGTCATACCTCTTCGATGCTTCCACAAGATCATGTACCTGAATTTATGCATCAAGTGTCAGGACAAAAAAACAAAAAAAAAGAGCAGAAATCAAATCATGGGCTGAAAAGTAAATAAATGTTAAATAAGAAATTAATAAAGGGAGATGAAAGAACCTTGGCAACGTACTCGGACTCTGCGAATCGAAAAGCGATACCGAGGCAGCGGAAAAGAGCAGAGACCAAAGAGCATGTTTCACAGAACGTATCCAATCTGAGCTCTCCTCCAGCTCCTTTGTCTGTAGTATTCCTGATCCTCCGAGAATTCAGACGTTTTGCTAGCTCCTCAAACGCCTCTACAATCACTGACAAATCAGTTTTTGCTTTTGCTTTTGGTGTTGGCATGTTAGCTCCCCAAGCCTCCTCTTCAACAACAACGTCTTCTCGTGTTTCCTGTTCTTGTTGTCTATGGTGGTGGTAATATAATGCTGTTGAAGAGCTTGGTGGAGAATGCATCGTTGTTAATGGCGGTATTCTTTTATAAAGAAATTTTGATTCTTATTCTCTTTGATTTTTGAAATTGTCAAATTTGAAACAGGGCTCTTTCGTTGAAGAATAAAAGTAAAAATAGGGAATTGGAATAACGAGCAACAGCATAAATGAGAGTTGCGCGTGAGGTTTCTTTGTTGGTTCTCTTTCATTCGTTCCTTTTTTCTCAATTGGAAACGGAATAAAGCGTGTAATTGTGAGGCTAGTGGTTCGAGAAACTGGGAAGGTTCCGCTAGAGATGCGGTCTGCCTAAGGAATTTTTTTTAAAAAATAATATTTACTCAACTATAATGATGTTGATGGTGATTCATAACAGCTTGTAAGCGAGAGAGATTTGGAAACCTGGCAACAGAAAAATCAAATTCCTCTCTGGTCCATTGAGAGATTCTTTCACCACTCAGGCTTTTACTCGTCCGAAATTTTTATTTTATTTATTTATTTTTTCCGGTGGGTCCAATTCATTAGTTATTTTCCGGTCTTTTGTTTACCGTTAATGATTCGTAGTGAGTTTGATTAGGTCCTTGTTAAATGCATTCTGTTTGTTGTAAGTCCATAAAGTCTTTAACAGTGAGGTGCTATCAAGCTAGTTGAGCGACACATGCTCGCTCAGTGTTGGAAAACCCTTAGAAACAAAATTGATTTATTTTAATTTTATAAATTAATTGAAAAAATTATAACAAAAATTTAATAATAATAAATTCAGAGGGTGGGGAAAGTAAATTAGAGGAAATTTTCGAGATTAGGGGAGAATATGAAAATTTTTTGAGGGAAATTTTGGTTCTAGATGAGGTACGGTCCATAGAAATAAGACGGGTAACATGAGGTTTTCAAATTTTATTAAATTTTAATTTTTTGTTAAACGAAAGAAAATTCCAAAAAAAAACAATTTATCTTTTCAAGCGCCTTTTTTTTTAAATATTAAATAGATACGTGGCCCTCAGCCAGAGTGACACCTTCGTTATGGATTAAAGAATAGAATATTGGGATTGATCATAGAGGTTGATCAAACTCCAATAGCAGAGAACGTGGAGTGTAATTAACGTTTTCTTGTTCGCAAATGCAAGGGCTCTCGTCTGCTCTGGGTCAACTTTGCTTAATAGGGCCATGGCATCAGCCCATGGTCTTCTCGTACTTAAGTTGAAAGGCTTTTGTTAAAAGCAGAGACAAAGAAACTTGGTTTTAATAATTTTAATGTTTATTCAAGGGCATATGTTACTAGAGCTTCAGTTAAAGGATCTCAGAGTCCTTTCAAAAAAAAAAAAAAAAAATTTCCTAGAATGGTGTTTGGCAATTCCAATTCCAATTGAACAGATAGGAAAGAGATGGGAAGGTCTTCTTTGCCGATCTATACCTCATATGGCATGTCATTTTTCCACCATAATGTTGTTTCTTCCATTTGAGAATTGCCAATTTTTATTACGGTTTCTTTGTCCAATATCCAAGAGTTTTTCATAAATTATTAGTCAGTAAGTTAATATGAGGATTCTTTTAATGCAAAATCAAATTACTTTCTTTTTTCCGGTCACTCTAAAAATCATACACATAAGAGGTAGTAAATCTTAATTATTCTAAACTAGTTGACAATTGACATACTTGAACATGAAGATTGTGTCCCCTATAGCTAGTTGAGGCTAGTCCAAAGTACTAGTTGCCATAACTTTACTCCACTCTAAGGATTGACGGTCTCATATGTTTTTATTATAAAATAAGCTAATTATGTTTGTTTTATTTAAGTAATTTATTTATTTATTTATCATTTTTTTATGGTCAAACTAAATAAAAATATCACATGATTTGCAGATGATATATATATATATTTACGAAAATGTACTTTTCACCTTAGTATGTTAAGTTTCTAATTTGTTATTGTATAATAAATTGAGCCTCTAATATGTTTTTAATGCTAAATAGTTTATTATATTATTGATAATAATTTTTCTAATAGTGTATTGTACTTGGTGAGCTTTCGTTAATTAAAAGCATATAAAAATAATTGATACATGTTAGTATGTAACTCGTTTAAGAAATTGTCATTTAACATATTTTTTAATTCTAAAGAGTCTATTATATTATTATCATTATAATAATTCTTTTGTGTATAATATTAAATAAATTAATATAATATTTGCTACTATATTAAATTATCTCTATAAAAAAATACGAATCATGTGTGAAAATGACTAAATAATATAAATATCAATGATTGGATTAAAAAACACCAAGAATGTGCTCACACAACTCTTAACCGAATTTGTAGTGCAAAATAGTGCCATAGTGATAGCAGTGCTTCCCATATTTCCCGTTGCTTGATCATAGAAGAACTTAAATGACCTATAAACATGAAAGTTACGGTTATTCTATGAAGACAATGCCGTGACAAAAGCCAAAAGACTAGGATAGGAGTAGAGTTATGAGAATCGATTAGGGCAAAAGCAATACGTATTCGCTTGAAAAACAAAGCCACCTGCTAAAGTGGCTAATATCGAAACGACGAAACCAATTCTCAGCCTATTCGGAATAATTATGCCACGTTTAAGCCTTTTCGGTCTCGGAGCAAAATGAACCGAAACGTGATCGTGTAAAATTATTTTGGCGAGCATAGAGGTCATGGTATGGATAAACATGAGACTTCATGGAATTTGAAAGGATTTAGTGAGATTTATGTTCCGGAAATGGGCTTGTTGGAAGGAAAATGTGTTTTCTTGGGCATTTCGTTGTGATCAAAGAATTTCTACTCGCCCATACGAGTTCTATTCGATAATAAAATTGAGTTCTTTTACCGAACCGTGTTTAATCTATATAGCTAGAGACCAATGAGCCAATTAGATGGAAATTAGATGGTGAAAGAGGGATTTTCATGTGTGCATGTGTAAGGAATACACTTTTATATATAAGTTATAAGAATTATTATGTAGCTTTATAATTTTTTTTTGTCTTATTTCAATTTTAACTAATTAATCATTACATTTAATTATTTATTTGCATAAAATTACAATGTCAATCTTCAAATCTTTTGAATATTAAATTATAAAAATATCTTGTATAATTTTATTGTAACACGATTAAAAGAATCTATTTAATATGTTTCCCATATTGTAACACGATTTAAGAGATGGAGGAGCACACTCGACGGAGATAATAAGCCCCGAGGTAAAGGCCCCGCCCTCTATATATAGATTTGTTATTTTCTTCATTTTTTGCTTGAAAATAGAGGTCGGTGGCTTTGCTCCGGTCCAAAAGGGCCACCTCCCATGGTCTTCCGGTTGTTAAAACTTGAAAGGCTTTGTGAAAGCTAAAACCTAGACTCGAGACCCCTTAATAAAAGCCCAACGAGCCTCTACTACTTTTTTTTTCCACTTTCAATTAATTGGTTGTAGGAGTCCTTCTATTTTTCCTTTTGTATATATCCTTTGCTTTTACTCTTTTTTTTTTTTTTTTTTTTTGTCTTAAATTCATTCCTCTATATTTGATTTTTATCTTAATTTCATCACTTCATTAACATTTTAGGCTAATGGTGTTAAACCACATCATTAACTTTACAGAATTGCAACACATGTCAATTGTTTTTTTTTTTTTTTTCCCGTTTTAATCTTGTTATTCTACTCTTTGTTTTATACTAAATTTAAATAAATAAAATTTGAAAAATTTTTAAAAAAGGAAAAAAATTGAAGATATATTTAGTTATTCTTTACGAAAACCGAAAAAAAAGATGAAAATAAAAATATTTTTATTTAATTTTTTTAAAATTTTGTAACTTGACTAAAAAATAAAAATAAAAATTCTTGAGTCGATTTCACTCGGATCCCTTTTTGAGATGAAAAAAAAATTCCAAAATTTACAACGAAATTTATATTCCCAAAATCTCTTAATAAAATTTAATTTCTTACTTTTGAGTCGAATTAAGTATTTTATAAAATCAAAATGATTAGTCATAATAAGGCACGAGTAGCTGAGATTGTTCCGATAGCACCTCAAGATTTATTGAATCGGGATATAATTAACCCCGAAAAAAATTGGAATCCTTCTCTTTCACAATAAAAAGATTATAAAGAAGGGGGCCTTAATAATTCTATACTAGCATGACATGCTTCTTATTGGAAGTAACCGCAATTATGTCTCCTAATTATTACATATAACATGGAAATGCAACTAAACCTTATTTGCAAAGCTCTACTTCACTTTCTTCGAGTAACTCGGTTTCTTTGCTATGAACTTGAAATGGTCTAAAAGTATACATCTTCGTGCAAAATAGGTAATAAATAAGATTAGCAAATTGGAGCAATGTAATCAACCTGTAAAAGTACTCCAACATCCCTTACTTCTAAAATTGTAGTCCAAAATAGTTCCATAACAAGTGCTTCTAATACTTCCCGTTGTTCGATCGTAAAAGAACTCAAATGCCCTATAGATATAAAAGCTTCAGCTATTCTATGAAGACAATACTATGGTAAAAAAGCCAAAAGATCGGGATAGTAACAGAGTTACGAGAATTGATTATTAGGCCATGAGCATGTTTTTGCTTGATTTCAACAAAGCCAACTACTAGAGTGGCTAATATCGATTGGACGAAACCAATTCTCAGCCTATATAGTAAAACGTGATTGCGTAAGATTATTGTGGCGGGCATAAAATTCACGGTAGAGATAATACATGAGACTTTATGGAATTTGAAAGGATTTTTTGAGAAGCATGTCCACGGATTAGGCTTGTTGGAAGGAAAATGTTTTTTGCTGGGCATTTGTTGTGACCAAAAGAATTACTACGCACTCGCCCATACGAGTTCCATTTTGATGACAAAATTGAGTTCTTCTACCGAACTCGTGTTTAGTCTCCATAAGTTAGGATCAATGAGCCAATTAGATGGTAAAAAATGGATTGTTCATGTGAGCATGTGTAAGGAATACATTTTTATATACAAGTTATAAGAATTATTATGTAGCTTCATTATTTTTTTTTGTCTTATTTCA